AAAAACTGTCTGCTCCAACTCACTTAAAATGATACAGCAAATGAGTATTGTTTAGTACTTCTTTTTTTACTTCTCTTGTCTTCTCTGTCCTCAGGAAAAAACATAATTGGAATTGGCAATTATTTTTGCCAGGTTTAGAACCCTGGATTCATTGGCAAATCTGAGTTCTGGGTTTTTTGTTTATAGTTGTCACTAATTCCCATCTACCATCAGCAGATCAGCCTCTTGGGCAATCTAATAATGAAGTTTGTGAATGGTTGTAGGATAACCATTTCAATTTTAATACTGTATTTCCAGAAATCCTTGGACCCAGGCAAATAGGTCAGCTGTTCAAGCTAGGTAAAACTGGGGGTTAGTGGTCTGTTTCTGTTGAGGAAGAAAACCACTTAAAGGCATGAGAGTGAATGGATCTGGTAGAAGGTACTTTGGAGTGCTATATATGTAGGCATGAACATGGCTCTACTACCTAATTTCTTTGTCATCTTAGGTAGATCAACTTCCTGAAAGTTCTCTGAAAGCAGTGTTTTATTTTCATTTTAATTGAGACAAGGTCTCTATGTAGCCCATCTAGTCTTGAACTTTCAATCCTCCTGCCCTTACCTCTCAAGTGCTGATATTGCAGCTGTGTGCCACCATATCCAGCTCTAGAGCAGACATATATTCTCTGTCTGTCACATGTTAGCTTCTTCATGTGTATGCTTAACAAAAGTTGAAAGAGGGAAACAGTGTCAGAATGGGAGTGAAGTAGCAAGAGATCCTGGCGGGTTCTGCCATTCTGTAGCTTATAACAAACAGGACCATCTGTGCTACTGCACCTATATTGTAGGCTTCCTAGGATTTAAGAGCAGCCTTTCACTAGGAGATAGCAGACCAAGTTCCCTTCAGACATTTTTTTAACCCTATTGACTTTGAAAGCTAAGTCTGCTTATTTCTTATTTGGAGTTCTGCCTTCATTCTTTACTACTTCTTTACTAGAAGTATAGATGTAAGCAAGTTGCCGTACCTTCTTGGGCCTTAGTTTATTGTGAAATAGGGATAGTAATGATTCCTACCTAATGAGTTACTTGGAGGATTGAGATCCTATTGGCACTTAGTACAGTGTCTTTTGACAGAGTAAACAATAAATGTAAGAAATAAGATACTTCCATTTGGGCACTGGTGGCTCATGCATGTAATCCTAGCTACTTAGGAGGCTGAAATCTGAGGATTGTGTTTTGAGGCCCATCTGGGCAGGAAAGTCTGTGAGACTCTTATCCCAATTAACCAGCAAAAAGTTGAAAGTAGAGCTATGGTTAAAGTGGTAGAGTGACAGCCTTGAGCAAAAAGATAAAGGACAACACCCAAATTCAAGTCCCAGCACTGACACATGTGTGCATGTGCGCGCGCGCATACACACACACACACACACCATTCTTCAAATGTTGAGAGTATTGGAGACTAGCTCTTCTCTACCCTTTGTCCTGACTCAGAATCTCAGAGAGATGCCACATCTTGTTTTATTTATCTCTGTGTCTACACCTAGTTCCTGCCTCGTGAAAAATAGGTGTTTAATAGTATTGGTGTATGACATGATGATGGTGATGATAACATGGCCTAGCTCCTGAGATTCATAAGGGTAAAATAAGAAAATGTAGATGAGCTGGGCGCCGGTGGCTCACACCTGTAATCCTAGCTACTGAGGAGGCTCAGATCTGAGGATTGAGGTTCAAAGCTAGCCCGGGCAGGAAAGTTCGTGAGACTCTTTATCTCTAATAAACCGCTAGAAAACAGAAAGTGGTGCTGTGGCTGAAGCGGTAGAGCGCTTGCCTTGAGCTGAAGAGCACAAGGACAGCGCCCAAGCCCAGAGTTCAAGCCCCACGACCGACAAAAAAAAAAAAAATGTAGTTGAAAACACAAGAAGTACCTAAGTGAGGTCCTTTCTGTTCTGACTGCTCAGAATCAGAACAAAAAGCTCAAAAGCTCCTCTTGTGCATCTTCAGTGGATGCATCCAGAATGAATTTGTTATAATAACTCCTGATGCTGATGAGGAATTGCTCCTCTCCTGCAAAATCAGGCTATGAGACTGTCTCTTGAAAGTCCCTCTTTTTATTCTTCTTCATTTTTTTTTTTTTTAATATTGTCGGTTGTGGGGCCTGAACTCTGGGCCTGGGCGCTGTCCCTCAACTCTTCAGCTCAAGGCTAGCAGTCTACTACCACTTGAGCCACAACTCTACTTCTGGCTTTTTTTCTGCTTATATGGTGCTGAGAAATCAAACCCAGGGCCTCATGTATGCAAGGCAAGCACTCTACAACTGAGCCACCTTCCCAGCCCCCTCTTTTTATTCTTGAGTAGAACTGGCTGATGGGCTAACAACATCAGAGAAGTATGTTATAATGGGTCCAATTTGATATGTTTTGGGCCTTTGATCTATTCGTTTCAAGGATTGATGCTTTTTGGGAGGGAGAAGGGGCATGGAGCTGCAGCTAGTTTGCTCTTTGTCTGTAGAAGGGTGACGTTGGGTTTGAGGTTGGTTCCATTTTTCTATGGATAAGGAACCAGCATCAGGAGACCTTGCTATTGAGTTTCAGTGTAGAAACCCCAAAGACTGATCTTTAGAGAAACTACCAGGGATGCTGGCTTTGGTGCTGGTCAGAGGGGGAGCTGAAGTGCATACTATTTTATAATAAATACTAATGGAATTCCAGATCTACAATAACATTTCACATATCTAAAACAAACCATGTGCTTGTAAAAAAGTGGAAAGAGATCAACTTTAAGCCATAAATTCTTTGTAATAGAGGTCCCCCCCCCTGTTTATGTTTGATAGATACTTTTGTTTCCAGATGAATGTCAACTCCTAATTTCATAATGTATCATGGGCTTAAGAAAATTGAATTTAATAAAAGCCAAAGATGAATGGCATCCTTAAAGGTCCCAACACTTGTCTTTATTAGCAGGACAAACTGCAGGTCTCCAAACACCGCTTCTCTCCAAATGAAAGTTTAAATGAAAAGTACAGTTGTGTCACAGGTTAAATTTCATTGTGGGCCCAGCTAACATTGTTAGTAAGGCTCTGGTCATGTTTGTTTCCTTAGACACCAGAGCAGCCAAACTCACCATGCTATGGAACTCTTTCTATTGGGTGAAGTGTTTCTCTTAGTGGGAGGAAGGATTTACCAGCAATTAGGGAGTTAGAGCAGCCTGACTCAACTGTACCTCAGAGTTAGCTCTTGGAAATCTTGAGTATTTTCTTTTTCAGGGGGACCAATATGTATGCTGTATGTGCTAGTGCTCAAATTTGTTATTCAGAGCTGAACTCCCTCTACTTGGTCTGCTTTGTAATGGTTTGTGGGAAACAGAAGAAGCCTTAGTTAATTGGGAAACGAATGTCCCTCTTGGTTTGATTGGGAGGGGAGAGATCACCTACTCTAAGCAAGCAGCCTGGCCTCCTCTTGATCTTCTCTCTGCTTCATCCTTAGCCATTTTGCCCTTTCTGCATCTGGCAATAAACTCCTGTCAGCTTCCCCGTCTTTGGGGATCAGCCCAGGGAGACTAGGCAACCAGAACCTTTGAATTTCTTTGGCATGAATCTGAATGCCTTGATTTGGTTTGCAGCCCTGCTGTTGTGCATTAGTTTGAAATAGATGCTTGAAAAATAAGTCCAATATTAGTGGTATATTTTGGAGGGGAGGATATGTGGCTTTCCTGGGACAAGGAGATTGACGACCTCTGTTTCCCACCCATCCATTTCCTGAGTGCAATCAGGTGTCATCAGTTGTTACTTCTCCCAGGCTGTCTCTGAAGAGAACCAATTTGCCTTGATTTTGGTGATGCTGGAAGGGTCCTCTCTAGACTGGGGGTCCTTGGGTAGGGATGTCACTGGAGCTGACTGCTGGGATCTGAGTGGGTAAAGCCCCTTTTCTTTCTCCACATGCTAATTTTACTCAGAGGACTTTTGCTTTTATTTATTTTTTTATTATTTCCTATTTGTCTCTTCCAGATGTTTTCAGGGCAGTTTTTTTTGTGTGTGTTGTAAACTAATTCCATTCATGTTTTAAAAATTTATGAAAGCGCTAATAAAAATGTCAAAGTGGTAAAAATGTTAGCTTTTCCTCTGCTTTGATTAAATTTTGCAAACTGTTTTTGAATATTAAAAAGCAATATTTTTTTTATTCTCTCTCCTTGTTTTCCCTCTTCTCTCTGGTGCGCGCGTGCTCTCTTTTGCCCTCTCCCCCCTCTGGTACATCCCTCCCTTCCCAGGAGCGATGTATGAGGCGTGCTGCACAGCCAGTGTTCTGCAAGCCTGTTTGCACACCAGGACCTTGGTGCCGTGCATCTCTATTAAATAACGGAGACAAATTAATCTTAGAGACACCAAACAAATTGTCACTCCTCCTCCTTCTCTTCCATTACGTTCCAGTGGACTGGGAAGGGCTGGCTAAGTGATTGGGCGAGGAGGGAGGGAAGGTGGGGGAGAGTGTTCACTGCCTGAAAAAAAGTGGGAGGCACCAGCTCCCGGTGTTCTATTTTCTCCTTTTTGGTATCTCCTTTGGCTTTATTGTTTATCTTTTGTTTTTCATAAAAACGAATGAAGATACTATTTTTTTAAACTTCTTATAAGAAAATGTATGTGCTGCTCTAATGACTGGTTGTCTGTGTGGCTGGAGATTCAGATTCAGGCTAGGACAGGGACCTGGACAAGAGGAAAGAGGGCCTCCTCTTTTAGGGACTCAAGTCTCTGGTAGAGGACTGTCAGGGAAACTAAGGCAGATTACTGTCTTCCTTCCTCTTCCTAGAAATGGTGAGTGGGGAAGATGTCCTATTCCTAGAGCCCATGAGCCTATTAGCAGCCAGGAGGGTTGGAGGGTTAGAATCATAACTGGGCTGGCACCTTCTTTCCTAATCTTGGATTTGGCCTGCAGGAGTAATGGGCAACTCATCTTTTCTGAACTTGAAGTTATTATTTGAAATGGTTGACCAAAATAATTTATTTTTTCCCCTGTGTCTTTGGCATTTTAGGAAATCATTGAGTTCCCCATCCTGAAGCTAAATGGCCGGACCATGGAGATTGAATCTACCTTTCACATGTATGTCCAGCCTGTAGTCCATCCACAGCTTACTCCCTTCTGTACAGAGGTAAGGACTCTGGATGTGTAGCAAGGGTTGCTGGGAGAAGAGCTCTGGGATCATTGTTGTTCTGTATAGACTACTTAGGGAAAGCTTAGGTCTGATCAAGGATTAAGACAAGTGTACTTTGGGCCTAGCAATTGGCTTTTCAAGTGACTTTAGTCTGTGAAGAGTCAAAGATTCTTAACTTTTGCAACTGTGATCACTGGGCCCAGGGAGAGTAGTGGCAAAATCTGCCCCAGCTTCCCCAAATTTTCCCTTATTTTTCATCTCCATCTTTCCTGGTGACTCGACACTTTGAGTCAGGTGCTTCTGGGGCTCAGTTCCATTTCTCTTAGGACTCATTGGCAAAAGATGAAGATTTCAGGAAGTATATTTATGCTTTCTTAGCTTCCACAATGTTACTATGTCCTTTAATAAGCTGGCTCTGTGTGACATAGAATATGTGGGAAAGAGGAAAGGCTAGATAAGATTGAAGTGTCCTTACCTATGCTAGTATGATACTTGGCCACCTTTTTAGCAGGTTAGTATGGACCTGTTTTACAGATTAAGAAACTGAAACTAACAGATTTTGGTGCTTGCTAGAAGAAGAGGATCCCTTGAGAATTCTTACTCTCAGGATGATGTAGAGAAGCTTTCTATAGCTACTTTCCCCTCTGCAATGTCAGTTGTTAAATTCTGTGGTGGAATCATGAGTTGAGTAGAGATGATGAAAAAACATGGGTGTTTCTGGAATCTTTTAAGAATTTGGCACTGAGGTACATTAGAGACTTCATTTATTTAGACACCTATTTTCTACCTGTGAGCGCAATAGGAGGAGAGAAGCTTTTGAATAATCCTAAACATTTCTTTTGTGTAGAGCAGGCTGGGAAGGGCTTCCTTGGCACAAGTGGGCAGCTCAGTGGGCTCCGAGGCTGACAAAGCCCAGGTACAAGGTCTCAAGTACTGCTCCTGGACTGAGTACCAGTGTTTGCTGTCTTGCCAAGGTGGGTCTTTTGTTGCAGACTCCTATCTGTGCAGGCTCTTTTGTTCCAACTAATGATGTTGTTCCTTCATTTTCTCTCCTAACATTCCTTCTCTCTCTTAACCAGGTATGTTAATTTGTCCTTTGACTCCTTTTGAAAAGCATCACCATTTTAATGGTGATGGAAATTCCATTCCTTACAGGAAGGTTGCACTGTTCAGTTACCCATACCTTCCAGTCAGTTACCCATACCTTCCAGTAGCCTGAAAGTCTAATGTCCTTTTGTCCTTCAATGTAAGTATTAATCAGCGCTGATCCTGTTGAGCTTTTAAGGTCAGGTGAGATTGGGTATGTTTAGGGTGATATGGCAGTAGACTCTCTTGTGCTTCTCTTCATCCTCTCTGAGACCAGATTGTCTGGGAGGCCCAAGTTATAGAAAGTTTGCTACCTGCTTAGGAATGGCTCAAAGTGCTATGAGAACATGGCTCTGAGTAGGTATTTCAGAGTATTAGAAAAAGAAGGGTTACTGTCAGAGCAAGAATATTGCTGCTGATACTGTGTTGCTTTTTGAGCAAAAGGGAAGAAGGATTGTGAGACTTGTGAGGAAAAATTTCTTTATCCCAGATAGTTTCAAGAACAGCTATCTATAATTTTGAGGGAGTAGAAGTAGTTATTGGGATTCTTGATGTGAACCCTGTTATGAACATGAAGATACGGTTGTACTGCAGACATTGATTGAGTCATTCTGTCAAAACTTGACATCCAGCTCTTATAATCCATTCTTGTACATGGTGGTTACTCTACCTATACAGGGATCCCATTATCCTCCCATTATTTCATCTTGTTCTCTGAGACTCTGTTTAGGGTTACTTTCCTTGGGAAGCTTTCCCTGATCCCCAGCCTGGCTTGTGCTTACTTCAACATGGCACTAGTCTGATCCATTTTACTTTAGCTAAATACTTGTCTCCCTACCAGACCACAAGCTCCTTGAGGGAAGAAACTGAACCTGATCCATCTGCCCCATCTTTAAGGTCTGATACACACTAAGCACTTGATGCATGCTCCTTACATGAATGGATATTGTAAAGGAGTTATTCACTTCTCTCCCCAAAGCAACTGCACTACTGACTTGCTCTTTTGAGTAAGTAAAATCTCTTTGGAAAACTCCAGATTACCTTAATGTTGCCCTGTTTCCATACAGGTGGAACTAGGTCACAGAAAAGCATGGATAGAAAATGGGAGCTATTAGCCTAAGACTTTGTCCACTGGAACTAGCTGTTGTGGGCCTAGTGGTGGAGATCATTCTAACCAGAGAGGATGTTTCATTATTAAGTGTAAGCAACAACCCAAACCTCCATATTGCACCTAAGTAACTCTTCTGGCAAGATTTTCTTTCTAGTGCCCAAGAAGTTCTTAAGACTCTTAACCTGTTTGGGTTAAGAGGTATGCGCACATATAGATGTAAGCACATGATTGTATGGAGAAAGGAATGGGTTAATTGTTGGACAGCAGGAAGAGAATTTTGCCTTAGTGAGTTTTGTTTTTGTTTTTGGTGGTACTAGGGTTTGAACTAAGGTCTTCATACTTGGTAGGCAGGTACTTAGCCACTTGAGCTATACTTCCAGCCCTTTTTGCTCTGGCTATTTTTGAGATAGATCTCATTTTTTGCCTAGGTTCAGTGTAGCTGGGATGACAGGCATGCCCCATCACACCCAGCTTTTTCGGTTGAAATGAGGCTTTGTGAAATGCTTTCCCTTGGCTGCCTTTGAACTATGATCTTCCTGATTTCAGCCTCCTTGAGTAGCTAGGTTTACAGGTATGAGCTACTGGTACCTGGCTTGAATGAGTCTTTATCCCATTTGCAAGCACTCTTACTTCTCTAAGGCACATATTCTTAGTCTTCTTGAGGTCCTTTCTTAGTTCCAAGTGATTGCTTGCATAGAGATGTAATTCTAACAGAAATAAGGAGGAGATACCATTAATTCTTTCTTGAGCCTCTTCTATCCTATGACCTCCAAAATCTACAGCTCATCGTATTTCTGTCAGTAACAGCTGAGCTGTTGCCTTGCCTAGTCCCTGACCATGTGTGGTGGTTTTGTTTTGATTTGATAGTTGTTATCACAAAAAAAACGAGAAAAATGCTCATTTTGCTAAATGTCAGTGAAGGGCTTTGTCTTGCACCGGTATGTACAAAGGGTGAGGTTTATTGGTCTCTTTGTCTGAAGAGAAAGAGTAGGTCTGATTATCAGATTGCACACCAGAGTCAAGTGCTTATGTAATCAACAAACTGTCTTGGTGTCAGAATACGATTGTGTTGAAGATAAACTGTGAAAGGAGAAAGCGCTGGATGCTGACATGGTATTGGCACTGAGTTTCCTGGGCTGCTTCCTGTAGTTGGCAATGTTTATGATGAAACTAACTCATCCCTGGACAAAGCCCTTGTGTGGGTAGGGGATCTCAGGAACAAGCCATGTTATCAGTCAGGGTCAAAAGCCCCTCGCCTTGTGGTTTCAGAGTCTGGTGAAGTGGGAGTTAATCTGTAATCCCTCAGTGAAAGGAGCCACAGAACACACATTAATTCTTCCTCTCACCTCTCCTGCTTTAAGTGGTTAAGGTCTCTGAGCCCTGTTTAGCCTGTGAGCCCTGGTTCTCAGCTTAATAATACTTGGCTTTGCTCTAGTACTTTTCATTGTGAGAATGTGAAAGCTTTTTACAAATATATATTAACCCAAGTAGGAATGGGATTAAACTGTAGCATGAAGGATTTAAGTTAGTCCTAGGATAGAACTTCCACTATTAATTTTATACAATTGTCTCTCACTAACTGCTTCTTATATGTCTTACATGTTGTTAGCATCAGGTAGAGGTACTTTTACCCCTTTTCATCCAGTTCATTGGGAGAACAGGTAAGAGGTTATTCATTCTTGGATGGATGAGTACATCCTTCTAGCAATTCCCTTACCCCCCCTTCATGGGGCATCAGATCTTCCCCCTGCAAGGCTGTATTTACTTGGACCATTGCTCAGGCCTCTATGTATTGATAGGTTGAGTTCAAATCCTCTAGGAACTCAGTGGAGAGTCATGACTGGATGGACCATCAGTAAAAATGCATGTTTTCTAGGAAGCAAAGAGAGGATAGGAGCTGATCTCATTCATCTCCTCCCAGGCTGATGATGCTGGGGTTGCTGACCCTAGCATCTGTGAAAGCTCAAGATGCTGGAGCCCTACCTTCAGCCCTAGGTGGGAAGAAGTCTATGTAGTGAGGAATTCTACAGCAGGACATCTGAGTGGCCTCCTACTTTTCCTATTAGTGAAGGTGTTTCTTATGGTGCTGAGAATGGAACTCATGCATGTTAGGTAAGCACTGAACTAGATATAGTGAGTTTCTTACTTATACCCATGTTTTTCCTGGGCCCAAGGCAGGTACTTGTAGCGTACACAGGTGATGACAAAACCTGTGTTTGCAAAGAGGGAGTTCTTGGTACTGATATTTTTGGTTCTGTGTATAAAGAAGACTTTTTTGAAGCCCTTTAGGGTTGTATGAATTACTTTTAGTGAGAGCCAAGAGGAGCAGGTCTGACCTTGCCCAAGGAAGATCAGACTAGATACATGACTGACATTCAAACCCTAGAACTTTCCAAAAAGTAAGAATGACTGTAGGCCCTCTTTTCCACAATAGTCCTGGCCCTAGCCCTAACTCCGTAATCTGGAAGAGCTTAGCAAGAGAGATCTGGGCTAGCATGCAGTGATGGTGCCTTCTTTCTTTCACTCTTTCATCTAGTACCTTGGCACAGGTAAGAAGTAGTTCTTTCTTGGAGAGATGTAATCTGGACAGTGGACCAAGAGTTGGAAATCAATCTACTCTTGACTCTCTTTGGTCCCTTTGTGCCTGAGACAAAATGCATTGCAACTACCTGTCTGCTTGGGGTGTGGCTCTGGATAGTAGACAAGCCCTGGGTACTAGCTGTACTGGGCATAAGAGGGTACTGACAAGATGAATGCAGATTCCACAGAGGCAGTTTGTGTTGTGTGTGTGTGTGTGTTTGTGCACATACGTGCACATGTTTAATGTTCTCTGCTACATTTCTGGATCCTAAAATAGGGTTTAACACATAGTAGGGTCTCTGAGAATAAAGGGAGAAATCCTTTGTTCTTCGAGATTAAAGTCTCTGGCCCAGGGTATCTCCTCATCTCTCAAACCTCGGTCCCCATCCCCCATACCCTTCTGTCTGCAGCAGACCAACCTTTTCTTCTCCTTGACTCAGGCCCTCCCTCTACTGGGCAATTCTTTGGTCTCCCAAGCAAGGAAAGGGTGTAGAGGTGCCAGCCGGGTGGGCATGCTGTGGGTTAAAGCTTTGCGAAACAACAGTGTAGTTAATCTTTCTAATTTATTTTCCTTTTAGACCATGGGAAGTCTGTAGGCAGCAGCTGTTACCCAATTAAAATACAGATTAATATAAAAACAGTTTCTGGAATATAAAATAGAGTGGCTGTGTCCTTACACTTCCTTAAAATACCACCTAATAATGACTTGATGAACTACAGAAACCCACCTAGAGGAACTCAGCGTTCTTAAAATGAAAATTTCTTCCCTAAAAGGTGTGTATTACCATTCCATGTAAGTCACTATGAGAAAATAACCTCCCCTCTTAGAGCTGGCAGTTTCTGTGAGTTGGGTATTTGGTATTCATTAAGAGTAATTATAGTTTAATTGGATTTTTAAACCCCTTCTCCCCACTTCAACAAAAAAGTTGTTTCCAAGCAAACCCAAGACACTACTCTTTCTGGAAGTAGCCCAGGACATGTTGGGCATAGTGATTTCTAGTTGATATTTAAGACAAGGTGATCCTCATTCTTCACATCCTTGTAGGAAATCTGTCTCTACTCTGTGCTTAAGGACTGATTTTACTTCAAAACAAAACAAAATAATAAGCTTGTTTGGACCTAGATTGAACCCAGAGCCTAGGCCTGTGAATCAGAAATTCTCTAGGCCAGATTTTGCGCATTTTGGCTTTTTTGTCTGTTTCCCTATCCCGTCATAGGTGACTCTTTTCTGCTTGACTAGTTGTTATCAAGGACTCAGGTGTGCAGAGTAAAAGCAACTGACTGGGGGGCTTCCCTGGTTTTACAGTGACTATGGCAGGGGAGGTAGTGGACAGTGAGATTCAGAGAAGGGAGAAACCTGAAACCTAATGTGCCTGTCCTGTATAAGCACTCTCCAAGTTTTGCAGAAACTTCTGTGAGGCTTGGAACTGAATCTACTTTAGACTAATTTGTGGAAGTTATTGAGCCTGTTGAATACAAAAGTCATAAAAATCTTTTTCCCTAAAACAAAAGCTGAATCAGGTTGGGACATAACCTTGTGGTCAGTGTATGTATGTTTAGCCCCATCTCAATGCAGATTTTTGTGGGTGATGCTTACTTTGTGTTCTGGGACTTTTTTTCCTAACCTAGTTCTAACCTAGTTCTCAGCCTGAAGCAATGCCAAGCCAGAGCCCTTTACAGTAGAGGAAGAGAAGAAAGGAAAGGAACCAGTCCAGCTTTAAGTCCCTGTGTTATGGTTTTCCACCCAAAGGCTGTTTGTCTTTCCTTTCAGCTCACCGGGATTATACAAGCCATGGTGGATGGTCAGCCAAGCCTGCAGCAAGTGCTGGAGGTAGGTTGAATGACCTTTAATTCCTGACCTCTGACCCTTTCCTGCTACCTTTCTCCCCCTCCACTCCTGAGAATGTAGCCATGTAATTTGACTATGATTATGGCTTGATTAGAATAACATTTGCTGTCACATCAGTGACATGCTGTTGAGAGTATTGAACCATTGATCTGTCATCTCCAGCTGTTCCCATCAGGAGTTACTGACTCCTGACAAGATGTCCGAGTGCTACCAGGAGACAGGCAAAAGGTCCCAGTGCTGCTTGGCCCATGGCTGTATGTTGGAGGCTCTGGACAGCCTATGCTGGGTGGGCAGGGGAATAGGAGAGCTGAGCTGTAGTGTGGTGGGACTAGCCCCAGGGACCGGAGGTGTTTTTGTTTAGCTTTTAGTGTTGGCTTCTCGTGGCATGTGAGCACTTCATTAACTCACCCAGAACTCCCCATCGATGGCTTTTGTTTGCTGTCAGCTCCTCCAGGAGCTGCGCCGAGGCTGCCAGCCCCACTGTAGCTTGCTGCTGGATGCATTGTGCCTGTCGGGTGCAGAGGCTGCTCTGGGTAATGATTCCTAATCAGAATAATTACAACAATTGCCTATGTGAGGAAAATCAAATTAAAGACTTTAAAACCCTTGGCAGAGACCACACTTCTAGGATGTTCTCCTCAGGGAGCTGGAAAAGGTTAAGATGCTGCTTCTTGTGCTCTAGCCCAAGGGAATAGGAAAGGGCTATGCTTGGCATCAGCTTCACTCTCACTCCTTCCAGCCTAGATGTTCAGCACTGGAAAAGGTCCCCCCTCCCAGACCTGCTTGGTAGGGGGAGGGGAAAAAAGAAAAGGCCTGTGGATTTTATTAGGGCTATTTTTAAGACCCAAAGCTTGGATCTTATCATTGATTAAGAGGAAGACGAGTATCTGGAGTAGCAGCAGGGCATATCTGCATGGGAGGAGGGTAGCTTGGAGGACATAGGGCAGAAAGGTTCAAATAGCCCCCTTAGCCAAGAATCCTGTCCAAGGGATTGAGTGTTGAGCATATTCATGGGCTCCTCATGAAGGAACAGGTCTGAAAGGCAGCTTTAGGCTTACCTAATGCAGAGTGTACTCCCTATTATAGTGCTGAATTCTAGGCTCTTGTCAGCTTCTGATTGAGTCACGGTTAGGGTTAGGATAGCTACTATAGATTGGAAAAAGATAAATACCTCTAAGATACCTCCCAGTCCCATTGTTGTTGTTGTTTTGGTTGTTGTTTTTGCCAGTCCTGGGGCTTGAACTCCTAGCCTGGGCGTTGTCCCTGAGCCTCTTTGCGTTCAAGGCTAATGCTGTACCACTTTGAGCGACAGTGCCACTTCTGGCTTTTTCTGAGTAGTTTATTAGAGATAAGAGTCTCATGGACTTTCCTGTCCAGGTTGGCTTCTTACCGTGATCCTCAGAACTCAACCTTCTGAGTGGCTAGGATTATAGATGTGAGCCACTGATACTTTTGCTTCCCGTTGTTTTTGAGGAGAGATTCACTGCTATTCCTGAGAGAGTTGCTCAGCATGGGCTTCTCCTTAAAACATCAGACTCAAAGAGAAAACGGGTCTAGCAACACCTCAGCTTCATTTCCTGTCTTTTTTCCCCCCTTCAGCACTCAGGGTTTTGTGCTTGCTGGGCAGCCACTCTACCACTTGAGCCATGCCTTTGGTCCCTTTTTGCATTGGTTATTTTTAAGATAGAGTTTTGCCTAGGTCATCCTGAGCGTGCAGTCCTCCTACTGGTGTTTCTATGACAGGTACATGCCAGGGTGCTCTGTCATTGATTGTGATATAGTCTTGTGATCATTTTTACCTGGGCTGGTCTCAAACTGCAACCCTTCAATCTCTGCTTCCCAAGTAACTATGATTATAGGCTTGAGCCATTGTATCTGACTCTGTTCCTTCCTTTCATGTGCTGTGGATTTTGCTCATACTTAACTTTTACCTGCTCGTGTTCTCAGTCAGTCAGAAAATAACTTTGGACTGAGAACCTCACACTTGCTCAGCTTTCTTGCTTGGTTGGCACTCTACCAGTTGAGTCATGCCTCTAGCTTGGCTTTTTGCTGGTTATTTTAGAGATGGAATCTTGTGGACTTTTCTACCTAAGCTGCTTTCAAACCATAACCCTTTGGACTCCAGCTTCCTCAGTAGCTAGGATTATAGATCTAGGATTATAGATTATAGTGAGCCATTTGTGCCTGGCAACAAATAACTTTTTCAAACCATTTTGTGACACAGGATGTTGATAATGTAACCCATGCTGGCCTTGAACCTGACATCCTCCTCCTGGCTTCCTGACTGCTGGGATTACAGGAGTGTTCCACCACACCTGGCAGCAAATATCCATTGAGTAGACACTGTGCTGGGTTAGGGTTTAAGGCAATTCAGACTCTGAATTCAGGGTGCTTATGTTCTGGTAGGGAGACAGGTGTTAAAAATATCAAATACAAAATTATCATGCCTGTACCTCTGCTTCTGTCAGTAGTAGCCACTTTTTCCTCTAAGTCCTATATTTCTTTCAGTCACTTCTCTATTGCTGTATCTATTGTATTGTTATGATGATCTGCCTTTCTCCCCTTCTCAGCCTACTGTCTATTTTGTGCTAGGCACTTAACACATCATCACATTTAATTCTCAGAACAACTCTATAAGGTTTGCCAGCCTACTCTGCTTTATAGATGAAGGAAACCGAGGTTCAGAGGGGTTAAATGACTTTTAAATGACTTCCCATCAATGACACAGGCAGGATAAGGAAGAGCTAAGGATTGGAACCCAGATGTGTCTGACTTTCAATCCTGAATTTTTAACTACTATGTGATGTAGACTTAAAAAAATAATCCTCCTGCGTGAGTAGAAGTGGTGATGGGATCATTTACACTGCTTCCCCATGCCTGGGATCTTCTGAAAAATAGGCAGTGCTTCATGAATTCTTTATGATAATTCTCTTGTTAGATACTGATTTTAGCATTTGTATTTCCAGTGTGAGCGCAAATAAAACCAGTCAGAGGGATGAAGGGGGAAAAAAGACATAAGGTGTGATTAGGAACAGTTTATTTCCTTGCATAAGGAATTAAGTTCAGCCTTCAGATATTTTGCTGAATTTGAATCTGTAACCAGGAAAAGGAGCAATACAAAACTGCTGCTGGAAAAGGCCATGCTATCCACTTGCCAGTGTGGCATTCCACCATAGCCAAGAGGCCTCCTCTGAAGGGAAAATGTTTTTCTTCACTTTCATTTGGTCAATAACCAGATTCACAAATTTGTTTAGTAGGAATTTGTTAGAGGGTTAAATGAGTGAGTGGGCTGTGGGCTGGAAGCCCTTCTTGGGGCATCCTGCCCTATTTTCATACATAAGGGCTATGCCTTTGACTGAGAACTGGCCATATCACAACAAGGTATTTGGACTAACCTGCTGGGATCTGAAGCAGGCTTCCAGACCAAGGGAAATAGAGAGGCTCCCTCTCCCACCACACTTGGGCTCGTGGAATCTTCCCTAAGGGATCATTCTCCAAGAGCCTTTCTGTAGTTCTTTTTTTTTTTTTTTTTTTGGCCAGTCCTGGGGCTTGAACTCGGGGCCTGGGCTCTGTCCCTGAGCCTCTCTGCTCAAAGCTAGTACTCTAGCACTTGAGACATAGCACTACTTCCAGTCTTTTCTGTTTATGTGGTAGTAGAGAATCAAACCCAGGGCTTCATGTATGCTAGGCAGGCACTCTATTACTGAGCCACAGTCTCAGCCCACCTCTCTGTAGTTCTAAGAGGTTAAGAGCCCAGAGCAGATAGGATTGGTTGGGTAGGATTATAATTTTCTCCTGCTCTGATTACAAGCAGCTTATCTTTATTTCATTATTGTTGCTCTTCATAGGCTCAGGGAATACCAGGAAAATCTCATCTGTTCTTGTGTACTTTTCAGAGGGTCGATGAGTGGATGGCAAAGGAAGGCCTCTTAGATCCAAACGTCAAGTCGATTTTTGTCACCTGCGGAGACTGGGACTTGAAAGTCATGTGAGTATGAGAAGAGCTCCTGTGCTGCCAGGGCTTGGAATCTGCCTTTTGGAAGTGTGAATGTTTAAGCTCACAGAACAACTAGGGCAGAGATTCCTGGGTCTTTGGGGCTACCAGGTTTAGAAGAGGGCTGGGAGCCCTGCCTTTTGCCTCTTGGAGTAGACAAATAGAGAGCCCTGTTTAGATTGCTGGGGGTGGGGCCTTCCTGCATTTGCCAAGTCTTGCTGCTCATGACAGTCCTTCTAATTTCTGGGCTACATTTTATTGCCCTGGAAGAAAACATTAAAAGAGGGTCTGGAAAAAAAAATTAACCACACACGTAGTATTTACAGTTCAAAGTGCTTTAGAAATACTAGAAAAATCATGTAAAGTAAGTACTATTGTTATTTTATTTTGTGCCTAAAGAGACACAAAACCAGGATTCAAACCTGAGCAACTTGGTTCCACAATCCTTGCCCTTGACTAGGTACCATTTTATCTGGCAGAGAAGACCTATTGAGAGCCTGGTAGGATGAGGGAGAGCTGCTTCCAGGAAGCTGTTCAAGTCACCAGCCTCCTCTCTCCTCCTTTGTACCCACTGTTTTTCCTCTTTTGTCTCCTGATCCTGTCCTGGTTGTGGAAGACAGAACTGGCTCCTTTGCTGGGTTGACACTTCTGCATCTTGCCTGTCCTCGTGGATACCTGACTTCAGACATACCCCAGGGAACTAAAGAAGGGTGGGGGAGGGGGCACTGTTTGCTGAGAATTGATAGGATCAATACTGCTGTGTTCTTTGTGGCTGAAGCAGCAGCAAGTGTGTGTGTGTGTGTGTGTGAGAGAGAGACAGAGACAGAGAGAGAGAGTGAGAGAAGTGTGTGTAAGCCTTTTAGCATAAGGTGGATATTGGTGGGGGATGAGGAGTGACCAGATCAGGCATTATTTCTCACCAATCTCCTTTACATACCTTTTGGTCACAGGACATCAATGTGTCTTGTAGAGGAGTCAGAAGGAATACAAGTTCCAGCACACATAAACATACTTGTACCTCATCTGCCACATTCTTTGGGTTGGGTACACACACCGCACACCTCTAGGTTTGCTCTAGAAGGTTTCTGTCCTCTTGTATGATGCTCACTTGCCAGGAGATCATATAGACTGGAACTGGAAGCAGACATGAATTAGAGGAGTCTGGAGAAGACAAGGAAGGGAAAGCTGTTTTTGTTTGTGGTATCTTGCACAGCTTTGGGCCCTTGAAGGCTGGAGAGTCTTAACATGGAGCTCTTCAGCCTAGGAGAAGCTGTTTAGACGAGGGCAGGACTTAGGCTGATTTACAGAGTTTGAGGCTCTCATGGCTCAGGAAAAGTGTGTTTGACCCATTCCAGAGGCCCAGTTATTCAGGGCAGCTTCTCTAGGAATCACGCTTTTCTAGTATTTTTCTCTTTCTGGTATGCTCAGCATCCACGTGGCTGTATTTCAAAGTCTTCTGCTGTAATAGGGATGGTATGTACATATATCTATATGTGAAAATTTTCCTGTTCATAAGAAATATCTGGCTGGGCCTCTTAAGCTTGGAGTTGGCTCCTCCATGAGCTGGAGAGGCAGTTTCAGAAGCTGATGTCATCTTTGATTTTGGCCTACTCTGGCCTGCAGCTGCAGTGCAGCCCTTGGGCCCTGTACTGTATTGCACCACAGTGGGCCCAGGACAGGTGTTGATAATGCAGGATACTATATCTTTAGAAGAAATCTGGTAATCTTGAAGATTGGTTGAATAGTGAATCTAAGCATGTATGAAGGAAATCAAGTTATAATGAGAACTTCATTTGGTCCTCCTAACCAGTGTCTCTGGTAGGAGGTGATGTCTCCCTTTTATAGATGAAACCCCCTAAGGCTATGAGGTAAAGAGTTGTAGCTAAACAAAATTGAATTCTAAGACAACATAGTTTCCAGAAGAAACTAGATGGCTGATTTGGATGGGGAAGGCCAGTGATGCTCTGGAGAAGGGTGTGCGGGAGGAAGCAGCTGTCAGGTGGCAGGGTGGAGGAGCAGGGCTCTGTAACTGCCTTTTAGAATCAGGACTCCACATAACTGCTGGGAAGGCTCTTAATTAAATGTGTAACAAAATAAAAACAGCCAGAGAGGAAACCTAAGTAGCGCAGCGTGACAGTGCACAGCTTATCCGTGTTCCTGGAACCTCTCGTCAGAGGCTTGTCAGTAGCTCTCGGCAGAGCCATCACCTTTCTGTGTGCCTGGTAAAGGCTGCTGATGAGCCTGACAAGGGTGGTGTAAAATTGACACTCACAACTTGTTAGTATGTGGCTTGCTTCTTATTTTGACATCCATTTCCAGATTTAACTAAGTCTAAGGAATTCAGGAAATGTTTTCATTTCACATACTCATTTCTGGAAATCACGGTTCCCTTCTCATTGCTCTCCTTGCCCCCATCCCCCTAAAGCAACTTCACATCACTTTTGTTGGAAACTGCCTGATTAGTGTGGCACTGAGAAATAGAACCTGAAGTGCCAGCAGAAATCCCACTGGAGAAGAAAAATCTGTTCTTGTCCTGACAAAATCATTTTGTGTCCATCTTTTGTCAAAGCCTGATGAGCTGGTACTCCCAGGTTTATGGAGCTTGATGCTATAGTATCAAGATCCTGCTAAGGTGAGTTTGGATTTAATTTTTTCTCTAAACTTTTTCAAGAAATAACATAATATGGGCTTAGTTCTTGATTAGGTTACCGTCCTTACTTGGCCTACCCTTCTTTCATCTTACTTGGTGTTTGTTGAAGCTTCCTTGGGATTTAGTGTTGTTTCTCTGCTTACCTAGGTAGGAAATGTATCTTCTAGGAGATTCTGCCTTTGGTGGGTAGGCAGTTAAGACTGGTAGAGAGTAGAGTAAGACCTGCACAGGCCCCCACTTGAAGAACTTGAGGTTTAGCCCACAGTCTGATGATCTAGGTTTGCCAACCCTGGCTGACAGTTAGGGGGTTTTCTGTGGCTGAGAAGAGGAGCAAGTGGGCAAGACAAATAGAAAAGCTTGAGGGAGGCCCAGGCCTTTGGTTCAGTTTGGAAAGAGGCTCCTTTGGAGAGAGTTGGGGTAATTGGACCCTGTACTTAGGTGGGCATGGGGGAGGTGGCTTCAGGGCTCTGCTTAGAGTCAGTTTAGGAGACACTCATATACATTCAGTTTACCTTTGGGTCAGGAACTTCACTTGTTATAGGTAAGTGCTGGGCTGGTATTGGGCTTCATTTTGTTCCTGGCTTCCTGAAGGAAGAGGTAGAAGGCATGCTATGCCCACTACTTATGCTGTGTAGAGGTAGACCTGGAGCATTTCAGGGTTTAAAATGTCTAGAGATTGAAAAGTACTTGCCTAGAGTGTAGTGCCTGTTGCCGCCATGAGGAGCATGCACTTGGCCAGATCTGTTGACATTTCCCTCCTGGCTGCAGTCAAGTGCCCCAGAGTAGTCTTGAAGAACGAGACTCCTGGTACCTGGAGTGAAGTGGCACCATGTTAGCACCATACACCCGGAGAGTGTTATGGGTAGTGACTTCCCTGGGAGGGCGAGGAGTAGAATATGACTGTTTTCCTTTTGTTTTTCATACTTGCTCTTACCAGAGAGTGGGCTCATCTTTTGCCATAGCTTCAGCTATCCTCTGTATACTGAGGCCTTCTAATCTTTTTCTCCAAGTGACGGATTAGAACTAACATAATCCTGCTGAAGAAAAGAAATCTACTCTGCCTTTCACTTGAACTCCAAGCCTGATTATCCCAGCTGCCTTTCCTGAATCTCTACCTGGATGACCACCAACGTCTTAAAACTCAGCTGTGGGGGCTGGTAAGATGGCTCAGTGGTAGAGCGCTTGCCTTGCATGCATAAGGCCCTGGGTCCAATTCCTCAGCACCACATAAGCAAAAAGAAAAAAGCCAGAAGTGGCGTTGTGGCTCAGATGGTAGAGCGCTATCCTTGAGCTGAAGAGCTGAGGGACAGCGCCCAGGACCAGAGTTTAGGCTCCATAACCGGGCCCAAAACACACAGAAAAAACCAAAAACCAAAAAAAGTAGCTGTTACTTTCTCCCCTCAGCCTGTCCTCCATTATTCTCTTGAATAATTAAATTAGTTTTATCCACTCAGCTCTCCTAAGAAACCTGAGAATTATTATTTCTCTAGCTACCACCAGTAGTTGCCAAATTCTTTTGATTGTGCCTTGTAGAGGTTTCTCAGACCACCACTGCCAAAGTTAAGATGATCATGTTCTTCTTGATTAATGTAGTCTTCATAGTCTTAAATAGTGTCCTTGACTCCAGTCTTGCTACTTCTTTATTCCAAATTGTAGTGAATTATGTCAGACTGCTGTCTAAGCTGTGACAAGCCTCACCCTTGTCCTCAAGTTCAAGTCCACACTGTTGAGTTCTTCACATCTCTTACTTTCTTCTCTCTCTAGATCCGTAAGTTCTCTCTATGAACCATCCACTTCATTCAGAGGCTATATATAGCTGGCCACTTTCTAACATCTTTCTCCAAGTGCTTTCCTTTATGTTCCTGGAGCCTGTATTTATTCATACATCAAATTTTATCATAGCTTTCTCTACTTCTCTGTTTTCCTTACTAGATTATAAATACAATTAGGATAAGGCTTGACTTGTAATAGTTGTTAAGCAAATATTTGTTGAATGATTTCCTTTTGTTGTTATTGGGTGTTTTTTTTTTTTTTTGTTTTGTTTTTTTGCAGAGGTTGGATTTTTGGTATTGGGGATTGTACCCAGGGCCTCACATATGCTAAATACACATTTTACATACCCTCAACCCTATGAGGTACAATGAAGTGATTCTTGGAATCCCTGGTCCAGAAGAATGGCAAAAAAAAAAAAAAAAAAAAAAATGATAGCAGGTAGATTTAGGGAACATTAGTTGTTATTGTATAGGAAAAATGGAACAGAAGGAGAAGTCTTTGGCCTTGCTGGCCTAACCTGAATGTGAGAAGTTAAAGAACTAAGCTGCTGATATCAGGGAGTTGGGTGAAG